GGAGTAATTTGTTACTGACTGAGGAATGGACCATAATGGCAAAGCCCCAAAAAGAGCACAAGACCTTTTCTTGAACCGCTTGCTCTGTGTCTGAGAGAAACATGAAGGATTTGTATCACTTGGACAATGTACTTGTAGCCTCTTTCTCCTAATTATCCCTGAGCTGATGATCTAAGACTGCTTTGTGGATATGAGGACAGAATTTTGCCTGCAGGATGCACGATTACCACACGATTACCAACTGTGCCTCTTCTATAAATCAGTTGTATTTGGAATAACTGCCAGGCCAGCTTCTGAGCTTACCAGAGGACAGAGCTCCAGCAAACACAGTCCCACATGGCACAGAGCTGTTGCAGTTTTAAAATCAGTCTGATTTTTTTCTTTAACAGGGGAGCCCAGTGTAACTCCGTCAAGCCTGGAGTGACACTCTGAATCTGCATCTGCCTCATGTGAGTTAAAATCCTGGCAGCAGCATTTTGCATAAGCTGGAGCCTCTGTAGAGAGCTTTTTTTTTTCTTTTTCTTTTTTTTTTTTTTTTTTCCTTTTCAGGAAGGCTATAAAATTGTAACTGTATGTGTCTTGGCAGCAAAGGTAAACACAACCACACAAATGCATGAGAATTGCATACCTTACTGCACAACCCCTGCTCATTCCAGACCAGCTTCCCCCCTCAGCACGTCCTGTGTCAGTCAGGGATGCCCGCACTCATCACAGGCCTGAAGGCTTGCAGTGTTCACTCGGGTACTGCTTTTTAGCTCTTAATGGTGTATTGTTAAGCCAAGTAATGGTATTAAGAGGAAGCTGGAGTGCTGTCAACTGGCTTCTGTTTTTTTAAAAACCTTTAGTTGTTTTCTTTCCACCTCAGTTGCATAATCCATGAGCACTGGGTGCTGATTGCCCTGTGCTGCTGAAGCATTTGCCTGTGTTGGAACAGGACTATTAAAATAACAATTCCTCTGGAGCTGGAGACTTGGCTTTGTGGCAAAGACATGGCCATCAAGCAGTAAGAAAAGGAAATCAGAATAAGTTGTAGCACATGCTTTGGTTTTACTGTCATCCCATGTGTGTTGGGCAAGGATGGTGTGAAAATGTGTCTGTGGCTCTGCCTCCTCCCCTGTCACAGAGCTGGGAAGGCTCAATGACTGTGCCCTTCTCAGCTGAGTGAAAGAGCTGGGCACGGGAGACTGCATGGCAAATAACTGAATTCATGACTTGTCCATGGCACACAAACTGTCTCCATCAGGGGTACCAGGATTCAGCAACCAGGTCTGAGGGAGGGAATATTGTAGCAAAGTTTAAAATCATGTTTTCATCATGCAGCTGCAGAAAAAAAGTATTGATCTTCCTCTCTACTCTATTTCCTCATGGCTGCCTGAAGACATGAGAGAACAACCAGCCCTGAGTACAATACTGAAATAATGGAGTAACACCTGTAATTGGGGCATCTTCCCCAAATGTGCTGCCAGAGTTGCAGAGATGTCAGCCTGTCCATTCTTGATCTGAGGAGGTGGATGGTTTGTTTGCCCAGAGGAAGCTCCAGTTACTCAAATAGGCTTATGAGAAATGTCAGGGGGTTGTGGCTCATTCCAGCTGATCAGTCAGTGCTGTGGTTGTGGGTGCTGTCAGGGTGGGCTCAGGGAGCTCTGTCTCTTCCCAGCTGTGTGCCTAATTAAAGGAAAGATTATCTGGAACAGTAAGTATGCTGGTAACTAGATAACATTTATTGTCCCTTTCACGAGTCCAGTTTCCTGTGTCTCTGTTTAGTTCATGTGTGAAGGAGAAGGCTCTCATTTTCCAGATATTGTGGAGTAGTAGAAAAATAGAGGCATGAATGAGCTAATAGTTTAGTTTTATTCAAAGAGATGCCAAGGAAGCAAAATCTAGGGCTTGAGAGGTAAGCAGAATAACTGTCCCCCCAAAAGAAACATTTAGATTAATCCTAATTAATGTACTGCCTCGGCAGAGACTTGGGATGATGAAGGCTGAGGTTGATACCTCTTCTTCAGCCTTTTTCCTAATGGTGCTTCAGCTTGTTTCCTTAGAGAGTTAAAAGGAGGTCTGTGGTGATTTTCTAAGACAGAGAGGCAAATATAGAAAGAAAGAAAGAAAGAGAGAGAGTGAGGGTATTGTGTGAACAGCCGACCTTGTGTCCCACACAGCTGTTCCCTGGTGGAACGTTAAAAAGATACACAGATTGCTCATCAGAAAGCTCTTCAATTTCCCTGGAAAAGCTCTGGAAAGGAGCTCTTGATGAACCACTTGCTTGTCCAGAGGAGATGCAGCATCACCATGGTTGGTGAGTTCAGAAAGACCAGGGTTTCCTCGGAGAAATGTTCTGTTTGGAAATGTATTATGGACTAAGTTGGTAGCATGGTCATTTCCCAGGAGGCTAAAAAGGAGGAGTGCAGCAGCTTCATGGACAGAGCAGGGAACTGGAGTCTGTTTCACTTAACGGGGAGCTTTGCAGAGCTTTCACATCCTGAGAATATGTGTAGGTGTATTTATAAGAGTTTTCCCTGGGAAGTGCCTTTACTGTCCTGAATCAGAGGAATTCCTTGTTCCAGATGATGCTCTGGTGTCACTATCACAATTCTGTTCATCACCTAACTGCCTATTGCTCCCTCCAACTCTAGCTCACTCCCCAGAATTGCCTTGTCACTGCTTTCTTCATTAGCTGTACTTTTGTTGATTGCTTATTCCTATCTATAGCTCAATTAATCCTTCCTTTCCTAAAGGATAGAAAAGACTACGTGCATTGTATTTTGAATTATGTTGTTGATGTTTGCCATTGGTATAATATTGCTTGGAGATTTTGATAACTGCTTTATTGATTATAGTTATCTGTTTAAGACCATTACAGGTTTGCTTATTTCATTGTTAATGCTGTTAATTTAATGGTGAAAATTAACTCATGGGATTCTGGTGCTTTTTAGGTTATTAAGAGAAACCTGTGTCATGGTTACTGTGATCTCAGTCTTCTGACAGCCTTCTTTCATCTAAAGTCCTTGCCTTTAAAAATTTTTAAATTTTTAAAATTTTTTTTAGGTTTTTTTTTTTTCTCAGATTTAATTTCTGTATCCCACAGTGTAGATATATGCTGGTGATGACTGGGCAGTATAGACAATGTGTATTAATATATGTCATGAGGCCCACAGATGTGTTAGATGTCTGTCAGGAAAAGCAGTCTGTTCTCTCATGAGTTTACTGTGTAACTTGCACGTTTTCAGCTAAATTTGAAACATTCAAGTGATGGAGGCAGTTGAACCCATTGAACCCATGGTAACCCTCATTGCAGTCAAGGGTTGTATTTATTTATCTTAGGACCAGTTTAAGACATTATTAGCAACATTATGGTATCCCACTCCTAAGGGGAAGGGAGCTCCCAGGATTTGTAGGTGCTCGTTGTTGAAAGGAACAACAAAAGTCAGAGTTTCCACAGAAGCTTACAAAGTTTTATTAGTAAATTACACTTGGCATGAAAATTGTTAATCCCTGACCTTCTAGTATAAGCACACAGCAGTGGGGTTTGGATAAACAGGTAGGGTAAAAGGGAAGAGAGATGAATTAAAGAGGGGAAGAGAGAGAGAAAGGAAGAAAGTGAAAAAAAGAGATCACCAGTCCTGGCAGCAGCACTGATGGGGTGTCCAGTCCTGGGGCACACGCAGGGCATGTCTGGGCTTTGTTGGGGTATCTTTTTATAGATTAGTTTTCCCCACCTTGAAAACAGGGCTCTTGCTTTCTATGTAAATCAGTTACCATGTACACCCCATTCTTCCAGACCTTTATGAAAATGTGTTGGAGGCTCTTGGGTGGACTTGATCTCCCCCACACAGTCCATGCCCAGTTCTCGATCTCATTCCTGCACTTGAGCTGTGCTTATCTCTGGGAGCCCAAACAAGGACGTTTGCCCCAGAAAAGTGCTGCCCTTATCTCCACATAGCCCCCTTCTCCAGCCACATCCTGTTCTTTCTCACAACATGTTATTGCCAACAATCCCTGGCTGTTATTACCAACAATCCTTGGTCAGCTTCAGGACTATCCAGCTGTCTCGGTGTTTGAAACATGCATATTAGCACCTTATCTTCTGGGCTTCTGCAGACATGCAGTGAGCATAAACACACTGCCAGAGAAACCCTGTGATTTCCATCTGTCCTGATTGCCTTTTAGATGTAATTTAATGATCTGATTAAACAGTAACATTTTCAGTACATGGGAAGGTCATTTGCAGGAAGAAGAGAGGCCACATGGTAGGAATGACTTAGTTGAGCAAGTTCATTTCTTTTGTGTGGAGCTATGTGTGTCCCAGATGAGCAGCTCCTCTGACATGTGAGAGCAGTGAGCTTGCTTTAGAAAGTAGCATTTTGATGCACAAGGGTAATAACGAACAGATTTTTTTGCAGTACCATATGGTGTTATTAACAAACAAATCATATGTTAACTTGACAGCTCTACCTTCACGCTAACTTAGGCTGCAGCAAACATTAATTCCCCTGAGATGAAATCTGGAGCAATACTAAGCTTTGGGATTGTATCCAGAGCAGTCACAGTAGCACAGAAGTGATGAATTTCAGGCTTTCTAACCTCCAATACATGTGCTCCTGCAATTTATTGGTTTCTTTATCGGCTTTGCAAAAACACAGCAAACCAAAGCCCTGTTGAAGCGGATGGAACAGGGAGTGTTCATGCATCTGCCTAACAGGGCTGCAGGGAGGGGAGCTGCTGTTTGAAATACGATTTTCATGATGCAGAGAGCTATGATAAACTGATGGATATTTCATCTGGTGCACTCTGCTGCTGAAATTCAAACTGCAGCTCTGCTTCACTGCAGCCCTGGGGCAGGAGCTAATTCCACCACAGGACTCGGGGACCCAAGGCATCAAAGGAGGGAATGGTATGTGGAGGAGGGAGGAGGGAGAATGGGTACATTACTTTTAATTGCCTTCTTGTTTAACCCCCTAGCTGTTTTCAAGTTTTCTAACTGAAATCTCATCTTGGTACAGTGTATAAATCCCCTGAATACGAATCTCTTGGATTTGACCTGACCGTAGAAAGATTAGTTTCCATTGGATACCCTCATGAGCTGCTCAATTTTGTGTATGATCCTGCATTCCCTACCAGGTAAATGACTGACAGATACCCACCCCGCCTGCTCGAGGCCTGGAGTACTTGTTGTGTGAAGTTCACAGGCGACATGTGAGGCCAGGTTTTCAGTTGTGGATTGAAGCCTATGGCTGGCCACAGATCATGGGGAAGGGAGAAGATAAATCCAGTATGTGGGGGGCCTTTGCACACATGAACCCTTGCCAGCAAAGAGGGAGTATGTAAGAAAAGAATCCTACTGAAAACGTGGTCCAAAAATAGCCCTTCAAAGCAAAGACAGCAGAGACACAATTAGAGTGGGAGTGAAATCAGAATCAGAGAGAAGAAGCCATTACTGTCCAAGGCTGCTGGGATGTCTCAGAACATTTTCTTTAATGATTTTAATTAGTAGCGTCGTGGTGTGTAAGACATCCTGAAAATTAAGCTGACAGTAAACAAGAATAGAAATGGGACCAATCTAGCTCTCCTGTCGAGATGAATCAAATGTCAAAAGCATTTGATTCAGTAACTTTTTGATTTTATAACTTTGCACTAAGTTAATGGTGCAAAATTACTAAATTCCTATATTTTGTCTTTTGGTGGGAGAAGTAAAAAGGGCATTGTTTATTTTGAACAAAGCTTTTGATCTAACTCTACACCTCCAAGTTCTTTCTACTTGTGCCTTTGCTGGATTTTGCTTCTTTGACTCGTTTGGAGTTTCTTTGCGAAAGACTGGACCAGAGGATCTGTTGGTTTGACCCAGTTTCAGTCTGGCAGCCTCCTTCCTTCCCTCCTCTCAGCGTGTTTTACACCGAGAGTTGCTGCTGGCTGCACCCTTGCCCATAACAAGGCATAGCCCCTCACAAACCTGTGATGAGAATTCTGTTAAATCCACTGCCTTCATCCCAGGGAGGGGACAGAAGGGGTGTCTCTGTGGGGAGGCTGCATTCTCCAAATGCAAGCTGCTGGATAAATGAGACAGAGTTTTGCCAGAGTCAGAACTGGGCATGTCCATAATGTTGTGCCGTGGTTACGTGCCTCTTCTGGCTTTGTCTGTGACAGAGCCATGCAAAAGCAGAGAGAAATTCCTTTATCACACCTCACTGTTCCCTGCAGCCTGACAGGGGTATCAGGTTTGTGAGCCTGTGGAGGAGGCCCACAGCTCCCCTGGTAGATGCACACTTGAGCCTCTCGGGTTAAATACTTCAGGTGTCTCTCCTGCCTCGTGATGCTGGGCTCTGGTTGCTCACCTGCTGCCAGCTAAAAGGGACAGTAGGGACCCCATCTGCCTCATAACAGCAGCCCTGTTCTGATGTCCCATGCCAAGTGAGCAAAGCTGTTCTAGAGCTGTTCTAGCTGCTGTTAAAATGGTCACCCCTTAATGCACTTGCCTTTTCATATCCTAAATTGCTTTCTTAACAGAGGCCTGGTGTTTGACACCCACTATGGAAACCTGCTGAAAGTTGATGCCTATGGGAACCTCCTAGTATGTGCACATGGCTTTAATTTCCTCAGAGGGTGAGTGCAGACTCTTGGCTGTTCTTTTTTGCTTAATAAGGTCTGTTGTGTCAATGATCCTTAGGGCATACATTGTATATGGAGTTGCAGAGACTCTCCTAACAGCAGATGCTGTGTTGGTGTTCCTACAGCTCCAGGATTGGCTGTGGATGAATTGAGAGTCTCAGGTACAGCAACAGCCCAGATGTTTACAAAGGAAAGGGCTGTGCCAGCCACATCTGTAGCATGCTGGGAATAGAGGAACAAGTGCTCTGGGGCAGAGCTGATGGAATCATCCAGGGCTGTTCACCTGTCCTGGCACAGTTTAATGTCAGCAGCGTGTCAGTCAAGACAAAGCCATTGCATGAGGACCTGTGCCCCATGAGGCTGTCAGCTCCACAGCCATTGCTAAGAACGTTTGAGGGCCCCAGCTGGTTTGGGGTAGGAATAATCTTGCTCTACCCCTTTGTGTTTCTGACCTTTGAGGGTGTTAGAACTGAGCATTGCACACCATTTCCTGCAGCCTTCCCTGGCTTCTTGTGTTTCTTGTCCCAGAGAAGGTGCTTTGGGAAGCAGAGAGGACTGCAGTGCCATGTTCCTGATACATCCCAGCAAATCTCCCCTTCCACATTCCTGCTGCAAGGGCATATGAATTGAAGGCAAGGCACGCTCAGGGGTCCTAGGGTGACAAACTTTGTCTTTGCAGGCCTCTAAGTCCTTGCATCGAGACTCCAAAATTTAGGAAAAAAGCCCTTATATGTGCACTCAAGTTCCTCTTTGAACCCCAAATGATCTTTAGTAGCTCCAGAAATTAAGGGGACCGTAATAATGATATGAGTTCAGTCATTGGCATCCTGCTGATGAATTGCAGAGGGCCCCAAGCCAGCCTCCTGCAGCAGAGCCCTGCACACCCCTGGCTGAGAACTGCTGGGAGAGCAGAGAGCAACACTTGGAAAGTGGGGGAGAGTTTAAGATAAGCAAACAATGAAAGTGCAGATGATTTAAAGCATCCTCCTAGCTGGCAGTATGGTGCTTAAGGTCGAGCTGTGGACTCTGGACCACTCTGTCCCTGTGTGGGCTCTGCTCAGTTTGCTGACTCGGCGATGAGGGCTTTGTCCTGGCTCTGCTGGAGTCAGCGTGGCCCAGGGAACACCCCTGGATGCACTTTTGCTCTTGTGCCAACAGTGCATGTGGGGAAGCTGGGTGTTGATTAAAGCACAGTAGAGTTTGGTTAGTGGAACCTGCTACAACTCCATTTCACAGGTCAGCACATTTTATCTTCATTATGTTTTATGGTTTCACTCTACTTCACTTTATTTGTTCTCAGGCCTGAAACACGGGAGCAATATCCAAATAAATTTATCCAGAGGGATGACACAGATAGGTTTTACATTTTGAACACGTTATTCAATCTACCAGGTGAGTCTAATGTGAGCCAACACAGGCTTCTTTCTGTGCCTTTTAAGCCAGTGAAGCATTGCTGATGTTGTACACTGCTTTTCTGTTTGAGGTTTTTTTACATGATTTTTCTTCCTTTGGGCACAAGGTCTAGAGTTAGCTGGCTGTATGATGTTATCCTTGTCTTATGATCTCACTGTTTCCTTGCAGAGACCTACCTGTTGGCTTGCCTGGTGGATTTCTTTACTAACTGTGACCGGTACACGAGGTTTGTATTCCCTCCACTTTGAGATGATGATGGAACAGTACAATTATTATTTTATACAAGAGCAACAGAGCACAGATGGAACTGCTCTTATTATCAGTGGAGGCCCCTCAAGTGGTTTTGGTGGGCCTCCTATAATTTTGTGGTGCTGAGTTGATCTGTGTGTACAGCAGAGGCTGGTTATGAAGGTTTCCTTCACAGGGTACAGCAGTACCAACATCCTGACTACAGTGATATTTGAGGCAGCTTCCAGGACCACACACTTTTTACAGGGTGATTACAGACACCATTCAGTTAATTTTGAACCTGTGTCCATTGAAGCCATGTCTGAACTGGTAACTGAAAGATTTCCTCAGCCAGTTACCCAAGTGCTTCGTGTAGTAATAAAGGACATTTTACACTTAGAGGCGAAGTGCTCAGTGTGGTATAAAAGGCTGTTTGTGCAGCATGGGCATTTACCTTGCTGCCAGAAACATATAAGCATAAAAATAAACTGTGGTTTGAACTGGCAAATGTGACTGCTGCTGTGCTGCTCATCACCTCATGTGATGGGTCATCTTTGCATATATGTGAGTTGAAGGCAAAGGTTTAATGTGATTTCACTTGGGAGCTGAGGAACTGTTTATGCTGGCAATCCATCAGGTGAAGTATCTTTTCTCAGGAGAGGCATGATGATTGCTGTCATAATAAATACAGCTCTGTGTAATTCTTCTTGATTTCTTCTGATGCAAGCTGTCATGCTGTCTCAAAGATATCTCCAGAGTATCTTGTAATTTCTAATGTTAATCCTAAGTGTTCAACATAGAAGCAGTTTCTCTTCTCAGCAACATTACATTTAGTTGATTTCCATGACACTCCCTTCTTTAGTGCTGGAAAGAGGGAGAAAGAGCACCACTCTGTTTCTTCCCTTCATTCATCTTCTGTTAAATGCTGCAAACAGCATTTTTGCAGCCTTTTTACCTTCTTGTAATGTGGGTGAGAAGTAAGAGTTACAGTCACAGAAAGCTGTAGTACTGCTGTGGGGGCACAGATATTCCTGGGTAACACACAGATCCTGTCAAAATGCAGTTGTAGCCTTCTTTCAAGTCTGAGCTGCAGTAAAGTAGTAGATAAGAAACCATGATGGTAAGATGAAAACACAAGCTCCAAACATCATTTTGAGCTGTCTTGCTCCTTGGTGTGTTTCTTACCTGCTGTGACTGGCTGCTAAAATCTCTCTTCTGCCTCCTCACAGCTGTGAAACAGGGTTTAAGGATGGAGACCTCTTCATGTCCTTCAGGAGTATGTTCCAGGATGTCAGAGATGCTGTTGACTGGGTTCATTACAAGGTGACTGCAAGAACTCCGTGGGATGTGTGTGGTTGTAACTGGGTTGGAGGGGCTGGTTTGTAACTCCTGAGTTGAGATGTGCTTTGCTTGCTCTGGGCAAGGGCCCTGCTTTGCCGCCTAGTGAGCAAATAATAGATTGCAGTTGTATAGGAGCAAGTCAAGATCTCACCTGCCCTCCTAGTATGGGAACATATCTGGCTTGGCTTCCTATTCCTTTTTATTGTGCCCAGATTTCATTTATGTACTGTAATTCATGGGTTTTAGAGCATGATGCCACAAGGGTATTTGCACTTCAAGTCCACAACTTGTACATTGTCCTAATTATTAAAGCAGTATTCTACTGCAGATTGTTTACATTGGCACTAAACAATGTTGTCTAAAAAGTATTGGCATTGAAGAGAGAAATAGATCAGCTGTTCTCTAATTAGAGAGAAGCATTTCATCTTCTGCACACTCTTGTGCACAAATTTAGAATATAATTTTGTGAGCATTAACATACGGTTAAAGACCTGATTTTCTTGTTCTCCCTCATTCAGTCAGTCTGTTGGGTGGGATGGAGAACCATCACAGGAGGACTCTGCTCACAGTTGTACTTGTGGTGGTCCTTTTACCCATGCAGAAGTCAGGAATCTATTTTTCTTTCCTTATGCAGTGTTGTGTGATACATGTTGGAGTTGGCCTTTGACTAAAGCATTATGGTCAGTGTTGGAGACAGGTCGTTAACTGTCTTGTTTGGTATGGCAAATCTATTTTTTGTTTGTTTCTATTGTATTCCCTTCTGAAAGGGTTAAAATGCTGTTGAAGTGGATTATTTACCATGGTGAGGGAATCGATGGATCACAGAGTTTGTGATGGTCCCTGCTACTCAAAGCCTCTCATCTCTAGAGTCACTGGTTCAGATTCGCCCTGGTTTGTACTTTCACAGCATTTTAAAGTGTGAAAGTTGGCATTACTTTGTTGTCTCTTACATCATAAGTTTCCATGACCTCACTGGGTTCTGTTGTTTCTATTTCAGGGATCGCTCAAGGAAAAGACCCTTGAGAATCTGGAGAAGTATGTGGTGAAAGATGTAAGTGTGAAGTTACTTTACTTGTGCTATGTGACATTCGGTACTGACTAAGCAGGCAAGAAATAAACATGCTGATTTGCTGTACTAAATCACAAAACAGATAAGGCTGTGATTTCTATTGTAATAACCAAAGACAAAGTAGAAAGTTCAGATGCAGCCTTTATTCTGAGCCAGTGATCCACATGATTTTGTATTGATGTGCACAGTTTTATATGTAAAATATAAAAGCTAGAGGAAATGTTATCAAGGTGAACACACTGGCAAAGCCCATGTTTCTTTCAGTGATGAAAGCAACTGTGTTCCCTGCTCTTATTTTTCTGCCCAAGCAAGCCTCTCTTTAAAAAGCAACAGCTGAGCATTGTTTCAGCCACATGACAAAAAAGTTACACTTAGCCATGAGGGACTGAGGGAAAGATCCTGAAAGACTCACCAGTGTCTAGTCTCTTGATAACCCCAAAATGTGTGTTTAGCACATCTAACATGTGTTCAGCAAGCTCCAGTGGTTCCCTTACTCCTGGCACCTCTGCAGTGTGCAAGGCCCCTCTGGACCACTTATGAAGTAAGTATTTTTTAGTTTAGATGAGCTCTGTGGTAAATTATCACTTTAAAGCAGTTAATCTTGTTTCTAGTTACACGCCTACAGAATTCTTAGGTAACTGTTCAGTGAGGTAATCAGCTATTTTGGCAATGGACTGAGATTTCAGATTCAATAAAAATAGCCCCAGGAATAAATTCTCCCTAATTTGAGGTTGGAATTATAATGCATTCCAACTTGTGGCTCGTGAGCTCAGATTTCACCTGCCTCTGGGCCCATTTCGGGAACGGACTTGGAGCTGGAGCAGATCGGTGGGAGCAGCACAGGGTGCCTGGCACTGTGGTTGGCAAAGGCACTGCAGCCCTGCTGAGCCCTTCCCCCTCGCCTTCCTCCCCTGGGCTGTGCTCTGGAGGGGTTACCTGGATGGACCAGCAGCTTTCCTGGCTCTGGCCAGTGCACAACACGTGAGTTTGCTTGCTCGATGGTTTGATTTGCCTTTTTTTTTTGTCTGGTGGGATCATAGTTGAGTGTTTTTCCCATGAGGAATGTCTGCAACTTTTGTGTATGACTTGGATGTTCCCCTTGGCTTCCAGGGGAAGCTGCCACTGCTGCTCAGCCGCATGAATGAAGTGGGGAAGGTGTTTCTTGTCACAAACAGCGATTATAAATACACAGACGTAAGTGCTGCTTGAATTGTTGGGTTGCTATATCATGGAATAAGCAGAAGCCAGCCAGTCATTTGGATGGGTTTTGATGGGACATCTTCTGGTGGAGAATCATGTATTTTTTAATCTAGGATGGGTTACTGGTGGATGCAGATGAAGTCTTGAGTCACCTTTTGTCGTCCTGATTCTGGCACTGAGCTAATACAGGCCTGGTTTAAGTCCCATTGCTTCACTCAGTTCCTCCAGCAATTAAAAGGCTGTAAGGGAAAGTTATACTCCATTTTGGATTTTAGCATTCTTTAAAATGCAGGCTTTCTGTTTCAAGTGAGACAGATAGTCTGAATACAAACAGGTCACCAAACCAAGGTCCTGGAGAGGTCTGAGCAGAAAGGGCTGTCTGCTAAGCTGAGAAATAAACACAATTACTTCCAACTCCGGGTGAATGTCAGGATGTTGCAGCACTGCTAATCTAAAGATTTATATGCCATTTTAAAGCATTGCAAGATATACCTGCAGCAGTGTGCAGTTTTCTGAGGCGACTGTGTTATTTGATTTTAAAAACTACTGGTTTGATTCCTATCATTGTCCTGTTTTATTCATTTTGTCTCCAAACCTTATGGTGACTTCTGTGTAAATTCTAAAAATAAAGTTCTGTAGTCTGAAAAGATAAAATCAGAAAAGTATGTTTTTATAAACTACACAAATGCATGTTGAAAAGCACATATTTGAATACTTTCTTTCTCTCTTTCAGAAAATTATGACTTACTTGTTTGACTTTCCACATGGACCAAAGGTATGTGAATTCTAGACTGAAGTTGCAGTAGACACTGATGTGCCTAATTATCTGTGTAGCTGGAAAGCATTTTAATCCTGCTTCATCGGCTGCATGGGATTAGTTGCTTTAATCTGGTTAAAATACACTTGCTGTTTTGTGTCCTGTTTGAATGGGATCAAAGCAAATACAATATAACAAAGAGAAAAGGGGTATCATCTGGTCTCAATTGATAATCTGTGTTAATCATAACATTATTTCAGTGATAAAACATTTCAATTGTGGCATTTTGTAGCCAGATTTCTTAGAAATAATGGTTTAGATGTTGTTTAAAAAAGCCATGATGGAAAGGAAATAGTTTTATAAAACAGAAGAAATGTTTATGGCTGATTGTGCCTTAATTATTGTAACTCAAAAAATTTTAGTCATGCTTTTTTTTGTTGTTGTTGTTTTTCTGAAGTCAAAATTCAGCCCTGTAACTTCTGGAGAAAGGTTTAAGATACAAATTTATGCTGCTCTTTCAGTCTCCCAGTGAGAGGCTATCTCATGTTCAAGATGTGTTCTTACATTGCTTTAAAAGCAGAAGGCAGCCAAGAGGGAAATTTTGAGAGTAGATACTCACCACAATGACAGCTAAGGAAGCCCCTTGCTGTGGTTTTGATCTCACAAAGTGCGGAAACACGGAGCAGAAAGGGCTCAGTATCCTTTGGGCAGGGCTGTGATTCAAAGCCATGCTCTGTGGAATAGAGTCCAGGCATTTTCCCACTCTTGGCAGAAGTACCAGCATGGCCTTGTAAGCGGAAGCTGTGGAGTTGCTGTGTCTGGGTGTGTGCGGGATGTCACCTTCAGGAGCAGTGGCAGAGTGTCATTTACCACATCTCTTGACGTGTCAGCTGTGCCCTGACAGGGATGTTCAGTGCTGTTCTGTCTCACACCATGTCCTCAGCCCCCACTTCTAGGGCTGGGATGGGTTTGTGGCAAAAGAGGAATGCTTCAGGAGATGGTGCTGGCAACCCAGCATTGTCCCACAGGAGGCATGAGCTAAAGGATTTTGATGGTCCAGCAGTGTCACAAGGTTATGACCACGGACAGTGACACTCCAGTCAAACTTCCTGTAGTATTTTTGTGTCATGCCTGATTCTGGGGTTTGTTTTTGCCTTTGTAGCCTGGGAGTGCCCATCGGCCATGGCAGTCCTACTTTGACCTGATCCTGGTGGATGCACGAAAACCCCTCTTCTTTGGGGAAGGGACTGTATTGCGGCAGGTGGACACGGTGAGTGGTCAGGGGAGGGTACCTCCATGGCTGGAAGGGCTTCTGCACCTCCTGTATGGCATCTCTCAGTGACAGTGGGCAATGCAGTGTTTGGACAGGACCTACCCTAGAGACTGGGCTGGAGTCTCCTCTTAGTGATTCCTGAGCAACCCCATCACCTCAAGGCTTCGCTGGCTTCCCTGACATCCTGCAGATGACAGTAGGAAACCCACCTCTGGGCTGCTTGGGAGTGAGACAGACAGACAAAGAGTGATGTGTCAATTGTATCAATATAGAAAAGATCCAGACCATCGGCTGTTCAGCACTAACACAACACCTCCTTCCACAGGTGACCGGCAAGCTGAAGATTGGTACTTACACTGGCCCGCTGCAGCACGGCATTGTGTACTCGGGAGGTGAGGAAGGAGCCCTTCTTGTTGTGTGGAGTGGATCTGACGTGGCCTTCAGCCACTCCAGCTGTGAGAGGATTTGTGTCAGGCATGGTTGTGCTTCCCAAAGCGCATTGCTTTGTGCCCTCTGCATGCTGCACCAGAAACTCTCCATGATCAGAGCTGCACAGTGCAGGGAAGAGATGTGTAGAGATGGGCCCGTTCCTCCTCAAATGTCCTTTTCTTCCTTGCCAGGGAGGGTCTGGGAAATATCTGCAGGGCTTGCAGAGGGATGGCTGCACTGGCCCAGTGCAGTGTCCCCAGCTGTACCTAAAGGTGCTGCCACCAGCGTGAACACACTTGGAGGGTTCTACCAAGCCAGAGAAAGGTGGATACAGAGCTATCTGTGACACCCAGGGCTCCACTACTCACATGGGGGGGTGCATGGCCTCTACTGCTGCCATTCATGTTGGGGTGTGCATAGGCAAAGCTGCTCCTGGGGGAGCTCCTAGGCAGGTGAGCAGCGTCCAGGGCAGCCATGGTCAAGCAGGGGAGGTTCCTGGGAGGAAAATGCACCTGTTTTGGCTCACTGTTCTGAGCCATGCCATTCTTCTCTCAGGCTCTTCGGACACAGTCTGTGACCTGCTGGGGGCCAAAGGGAAGGATATCTTGTACATCGGAGACCATATCTTTGGAGACATCCTCAAATCCAAGAAACGCCAGGGCTGGCGGACCTTCCTGGTGATCCCTGAGCTGGCGCAGGAGCTGCACGTCTGGACAGACAAAAGCGGTCAGGAGCCGGGCAAGCCCCTGGCCAGGCTTTGCTCTTGCTTGTCTGATGCTGCACCCCTGAGATCGCCAGGGCTTAGGGGTGCAGGGGAGAGATCACCCTGGCTTGCCACTTCTCCTTTCGGCCCTTTTCACTGGGTCTGGATGCTGGTGGCAGGAGCTGGGGTGCCTCTCTGTGGGCTGGCCTTGGAGTCCCAGGCCTTTCCTGTGCTCTTTCCCAGGCTATGGATTGTAATCAGCCAAGTGCTGCCTTGGCCACGGGAGAAGCTGCAGCTGGGTGGGGTTGAGTTGTTCCTCAATAACCCCAGAACCTCCTCCCTTCTCTGCATATATGGAGCCGTGGCTTCTATGCTAAAAAATATCTGATAAGACCTGGGTCATTCTCCCTGTAATGCCTGAGCCATGACTGCTCTCCCATCTGCAGGGAGTCCCTATTCACCAGCTGCTTCCTCCTCGTTCCTCCCACTCCCTCTGCTGCTCTGCCGCCAAAGTGCTGTGTGTTTTCCATCCTCCAGTGCTCCTGCTTTTCTCCCAGGTTTGCCCTTTGGTGTGTAGATAGGGCTGGGGGTTATGCAAGTTGCCCCATGGCTGGTTGGAAAGCTTTGGTGAGAGCTGCAAAGGTTCAGCCTCCAAAACAAAAGGGCCAACCAGAAACCAAGCCCAAAGTTCTGCCCATGGCACAGAATGTGATTGACCCCTCTTCCTGCCCAGAGGCCATGAGATGCCTCCAGTGTCCCTGCTCCAGTATCCCTTTGCCACCATGCGAGGGGAGTGGGCAGGGAAGTGGGTTCACTTCCAGCACTTTTCATTTCAACAGTTTAAACTTACCCTTCTCCCCTTTCTTTTCTGGATTTTCCAGCCCTTTTTGAAGAGCTGCAGAGTCTGGATATTTTCTTGGCCGAGCTGTACAAGTGAGTGTTCAAACAGTGACAACTTTCATGCTGCCTCTCCCAGCTAACGAGCGGCAGTGACAAAACCTCAGGGTTGGGTTAGTGGCTCTGCTGCCGGAGCCTTGACTCAGGCCTGGGCTCTGCCCACGAGACCAACCTTCCCCTCCAGACCAGCCTCCCTCCCCTGAGCCCCATCCCACAGCATCTGGTTCTGAAAGACTTTTCACACCATGTATTTACCTTCTCGCCTGTAACTAGGCATCTGGACAGTAGCAGCAATGAACGCCCCGACATCAGCTCCATCCAGAGACGCATTAAGGTACCAATCATCAAAATCCCTTTTTATCCTTCTGGATCCCAAAGGGCTTAACAACCCAACCCCACTGCTCAGTCCTGAAATGCTTTGTTCTGCCTTTGGGTGGGCACAGCAGGCTTGGCAAAGCCACTTTGTCTCAGCTCACTGGTGTCACTGGCTCTCCTAAAAGGCAGCCTGGTCTGGAATAGGGTCCCTTTCCTCATGCTCACAAGAGGCACTGGCTGAGGGTGCTCACTGCTGCAGCACACAACAGTGGCACACACAGGCTCACAGGGGCTGTGGCCTCTGGTTCAGCCAGCCCTGGGGTGCCAGCCTAGGGTAGTGCTGGCCCTGAGCCTGCTGCCACCTTCCTTTCTGTTACCTGGGGCTCAGCTGTGCCCTCATGCCATGGGATACAAGCACAGAAAGCCTTCCTGGAGATCCTTGCAGGTCTCACGTAGCGCCTGGCTCGGGATTTAACCTGTTCTTTCCTCATAGAAAGTGACCCACGACATGGATATGTGCTACGGGATGATGGGGAGCCTCTTCCGCAGTGGCTCTCGGCAGACGCTGTTTGCCAGCCAGGTGATGCGCTACGCTGACCTCTATGCAGCCTCCTTCATCAACCTCCTCTACTACCCCTTCAGCTACCTCTTCAGAGCCGCCCACGTTCTGGTGAGTTGCAATCCCAGGGGGGTGGGCAGGGCTCCCAAAGGTGCCCATGCTTGTGCCCATTATCACTGCCACGGGACGCAACAGCGCCTTGCAGGGTTTGGTGGCATTTCACAGACTGTGGACCAAATGGTCGCATTTTGGGGTTTGCTCTCCATGTGTCTCAGGAAGGCAGCCTGGGACTGGGACACCCCTTGTCACCTCCTCTCTCTGTTCCATGAGCAGATGCCACACGAGTCCACAGTAGAGCACACGCACGTCGACATCAATGAGAAGGAGTCGCCGATGGCCACGCGCAATCGCACCTCGGTGGATTTCAAAGATTCCGACTACAAGCGGCACCAACTGACCCGTTCCATCAGCGAGATCAAACCGCCCAACCTCTTCCCCCAGGCACCTCAGGAAATCACACATTGCCACGATGAAGATGATGATGAGGAAGAGGAGGAGGAAGAAGAAGAGGAGGAGGAAGAGTAAGAAGGAAAAAACCAAGTATTTCTGAAGATAAACCATGACTCTAGCAGTGATCAGGAATGGATTCTGTTGTTGGGGCCCTTGGGGTGATGGGTTGGGGGGTGTGATTCTTGCAAAGGCACATTTTGAAAGTATTTGGAAACTTCTAACAAATTAACACTAATTAGGAGGAGACCCTTGTTTTCAGTTTTGCAGACGGTTCAAAAAGCTGATGGATTCTAACTGGGTGGTGCATTCAGATTGGACTGCCCGCCTGTGATGTCATGCTACTCCTGTTAGATTTCGGGATGCTGCATGTTTCTCCCTTTCCTATGATGTGTTTCATTTGGTTCTCATTTGAAGTGTCCTGTGAACGGTTTTTGACATTTGTTACATTCTCTGTGGAGATAGAAGGGATGTGCTGGGACCTGCAGGAGACAAAATTTTCCAAATCCTGCTGCCCATTAGGTTGCTGCCCTTAACCCTCTGCTCCTGGGTTACATAATCCCTCCTCCTCATGTTAGCCAGGGTGTTGCTGTGCCTTCCAGCACTGTTTCCCTTCTGTTGGTGTGAGTTTCTCTGTGTAAGTGGTTTGACTCCTCCAGCCATCATGGATGGCAGTGGATTCCAGCTCTTGCACTTCTGCTGCCATACATGTTTCACCTTGTAGCCGCTTGTTACCTTCTCCCAGTGTCTCCAAGCTGTCTCACCATTACCATGTGATGCATAATTTCCAGGGCATTTCTTAAACAGCTGAGCTCCACACTGTTCTCGACTCCTCCAGTTTCAGCAGTAAATATTATCCCAGGAGCTTGAAGCTGCTGCTTTAGCATTACATTAGTCACTCTGTGTTCCTCCTGACCTTTCTGTCCTCTCAGTTTTAAGTGAAGCATCCCAAAACCAACCCCAGCCACCATCTGGTGTGAAAGGGCCTGTTGAGCCAGGGGGCTGTGGGCCACATGGGCCTGTCCTAAGCTAGGAAACAGCACATGCCACAGGGCCAGCCCCACGCTGGGAGCCAGGAAGCTCCCGGCCATCCAGCAGCTGCCCTGGTCTTTGGTCTGGTGCGGAGCAAACGGAGCCTCACTGCTGGCCGTGGTGGGCAAGGCTGCGTCCCTGGCCAAGGAGTGTGATGGCTGCTGCATGGGGGTGTCCCAGGGATGGGCAGGTAGTCCTTGTGCCTGAAAGCCAGCCCAGGGAAGGCATGGAGCTGGCACACAGCTGGGCAGCAGTGCCCTGTGGTTTTCCTCTGAGTCATGGGTGCAGCCTCCCTTACTCCAGCCTCTGCCGTTTGCTGCAAAGGGATTACAACGAGGGCCCTCTTGTAATGAATATGACTGTTGTTTCAGTACCATAAACTCATTTAATTTTTTTCATTTTAAAGTACCTTAGTAGAAAATAAAAGAAGTAAAACTACACCACCAACATCTGAGCAGGAAAATGCTGCTCTAGTGACAGTTGTTCAAGTCAATAAATGATGATGTTTCTAAGAAATGCCTGGTGTTTTGTGGTGTGTTGGTGAGATGATGAGGGCTGTGGTGGAGTTGGTGGGAAGAGATGGAACTGCTCTGTGGGGTCCCAGCAGGATGGGTGACTGGGCAACAGTGAGAGCATCTTTGGGAATTGGTCTTGTGAAGCACTGGGGAGCAGTGGCCGTGATCTTGCTGTAAGGGCATGGCTGGGCACAAGGCTTCTGTTACCACCATCTGCATCAGCCAGGAAAGCATGGCTGGCAGAGAAACATTCTGTCTTGGACACAGAGAGTGAGGAGGGGCTTTTTCATGGTGGGAAGGTGAACATCCCTACACTGCCACTGCCTTCAACGCTGTGTCTTGCCAGGACTGTTTCCCACAGATGTTACCAAGGACCATTTCCTGCCCCTCTGCCCTTGCAAGACACATGGCCAGGGTGGCAGCAGGGCACAGCACAGCCTGTGCTCACCAGGAGCTGCAAACCTGCTTAAACAGACAAGGATACCCAGGGAAGGCCAGTGCTGCCACACAAGGCTGTGCCCAGCTAAGACAGGCAGCCCTGGGCGCTGCCGAGCTCAACCCTCCCCTAACAAACAAACTCCTCATATCAACCAAATCATACCTGAGGAGGTTCCCCCATCAGCACCACCACAGGAGGATATTCAGTCCAGGGCCCAAAGTGCCAGGCAGAAAAACAGTGCTAAATGGAAACAGCTGGTTGCCTACACTTAACACCTGACACTTAAGGGGCTGCTGAAAACTCCAGAGCACTGGGTCCCTGACACCTCAGTTTTGGGGTCTGGAGAGGAGCTCACACATCTCCACAGTGAGGCTGGCTGCAAGGAAGGGTTCCAGGGGGCTGCTCCTGAGCCCTTTCACCAAAGGCCATGCTGGGGTCTGCTATGTTTAAACTTTGTTTCTCCAAGTATAGCTACTTGAATTTTTTAAGCTTTAGCTCAGCAGCTGGGGGAGGCATGCGGCTGCAGAAAGGGAGGTCTGGGGAGCTCCATGCATTCCTCCTTCCCAATCGGTCACCACAAATAGCTCACTCCCAGCCCAGGGCTATTTCTGACTGAGATGGGGAGAAGAGTCCTCAAGGCTGGAGCAATGGAAAGTATTTGACCCTCACTTCACGGTGGGAAAATGTTGGGCAAAGCCTGACAGACACGCAGGCACTGCCCAGCCTTGCACCATCCTATCCATCCTGTGCTGGCTCCACCATGAAGTTGTAACCAAGGACCAAGAGCCAGGGTGAAGCTTCTTGCCCTGGCTGGCACTGGGGACACAGTCACAGCCCAGGTTTCCAGCCCACACCTTCCTCAGGCAGCTGCCCATGGCTGATCTGCACCAGCTGCTGCTTCCCAGAAGCTGGTGGCCTGGCAGTACCTGTGTCTCTAGCCACTCTGCAGAGCCTCAGGGGAAGCTCCTGCTGCTCTCTCTGCAACCTGTCCCCCAGCCCAGGGACAGACATGCTTTGCTTTTGCCCATCAGCAGTACTGTCTCCTGCAGCAAAAGCCTGGTGGAAGCAAGATGAGCATGGGGGGAACCAGCCTCACCTGCCCTGAGCTCTCACAGATCTGATTTCTGGTTTGTCCCTCTTTCCCCAGACCAAACCCTACCAGACACAGGAACCTGAGGCTCTCTGCCCTAAGCCACAGCCCTGCAGACATTGTGTGTTGGGCACTGCCACTTCTGACCAGGTCAGTCATCAGAGCTGCTCCCAGCTCCTCTTCCTCTGTGCCACCTCCTCACTCAGCAGAGCAAGGCCCAGCTGCAGCTCTGCATCACGATATGCCCAACCATGATGGAGGGTGCCAGTCCCTGAGCAGCCATTCCAGCCTCTAGCCTGAAGCCCCAGCATGGCAATCATGGATAAAGAAATTCTGTAACTGCAGAGCCACTGATCCACTCTGGCCCTGCACAAGGGTGCTTTCCATCTAGGCCTTAGTGGGCTACTAGGCTGCCGAGCCTGGCCATGGCAGGAGGTACTGCTGGAGCCTTGAGGGCACAGAGCCCTGGGTTCAGCTTTGGGCACTGCTCCCGCCCTGCTGCTGCAGTGGCCTGGACCTAGCAGCCAAAATCCATCCCACCTTGCTGAAGGGATCTGGTCTCTTACACCCTCCCTTCCAGAAGTGCTGGGCTCTCTCTATCCTGCCTCTCCTTCCCATTGCTCATTACCACCAGAATCAGCCCAAAGTTGGCCTCCACACTAATTCTACTTACGTTGTGCTTGTAGCATCCCACCTCCTTCCACGGGCTGCCAGGGCCAGGCACACACAGGGGAGCAGGAGTCCTCAAGGACCTGCCACTCTCTCTGTCCTGCAGATACATCGTGGGGGAGAGAGGCCCAGAGGAATGGGGCCACCCTGCAGCACAGAAGCAGGGACAGAGGCTGCACTGGGTGCAGCAAAAATTCCCACAAGGTTTGAGCAGCTGCTGCCCATCTTGCTAACCCAGGGTTTGTCAGCTCAAGAGCTGAGCCTGATGAAAGCTGGGTGCAGGGAGAGCAGCTGGGTGGAACAGCTGTGAAGAGGAGAGGGGCTGAGGGATGGCAGAAGCACAATATGGGCACATGGCAGGGCTGTATCAGACACACAAGAAAGGGGCTGTTCCTGCACCAGTGTGAGCTGGAAGTGATGGTGGGCAAGGGACTAAGCACAGGCTCGTTCTCCCACTCAGAAATGTCTCTTGCTGCAGGCTCTTCACAGCTCCACTGGTGAACCCCAGCACGAGGGGAGAAGGCAGCAGCACCCAAGTGCAGGGGAATGGGGCGACTCATTCCACCAACCTCTCCCATCCCACAGAGCTGCTGTCATCCCCAGCCACATCCCTCACTGCAGACCCCCGGTCACACCCCGCCTGGCAGGAACCCCACTACAGACAGATGGCATCTACACTCAAGAGACAAACATGACCTATGGAGAGCAGGTTGTAAATAAGGGGTTTTTATTACTGAAAGAAAAAGACCCTCACCCTTGAGAGAACTTCAAAAAGTCAGCTGCTTGCCATTGCCACCAGCTTCCCAGCCAGCCCCTGATCAGCAAAGCCACCAACACAGCCCTCCCCAGCTTTAGGATTTACAGGCCCAGACCCACCAAAGTGACGAGCAACACCTGCCTCTAAAGGAACAAGATCCGACCTCTCTGTGGCTCTTGGCAGCTGAAGTGGAGATTAAAGACTGTTAAATGTGCCAGTAGCAGAGATCTGGGTACAGGATCACAGACATCAGCCCCACCACCCACATGCCAAAATCTGTCCCTTGGAAATGAGGGGGGAGCATAGAGGAGGGAAAAATGCATAAACTGGAATGTTCAACAGAAAAAAAAAATCATCATTTATCTAAAAAGAATAGAAATAAACAAAATGCTTTAAAACAAAATCACAAAATATACAAATAAATCTGGTACAAAATAAATAGGAAAGATTGGAAATCTACAACAAAATTGGAATAATTATAAAATTAATTTGTATGACAATCAGTATATGAAACGTATACACTTCATTCAGGATTTCAGTTGTGCTTATTCAGGTTTATGTACACACACGGAAATACTGTAGTCAGAATACTACAACTCTGGAAACCCAAGTCATGTACAATATGATACAATTTGCAAAGACCACATACGATGGCAAATAAGACACAGGGAAGAGCTGGCTGGAGTGGGATCAGACAGCCATAAAAATGCACTGCAAAGGGAGAGCCACCATGCTCCAGAATGGGGGGACCAAGGTCAAGCCAGCAGCAACCAGGACAGGGCTCTGGGCAGCCAAGAAGGAGAAAGGTTTGGTGTGAAACTTCTGACTGCTGAGCACCAGCTGCTCGTGGCTTCCAGGAACACATCTCAAGTACTTGGGGTTTCAGATTCACTGTTTGGCATCCAGGCACCTGCTCGGTGATTCAGGTGTCAAGACAGGCTCTGCTGGAGGAAAAATATGCCAAGAGCTCTGAGGTCCCTCAGCAGGGCCTGACCCCGAACTACTGGTAAGCCACCCTTGTGCTCAGGAGAACATGGATCAAATGGGACCTCAGCACTGCTGTTGGGGTCCTGGTGGGCTTCCACTTTTCAAATTCCATGTGATCTCCGAGGAAGGCAGAGTCCCTTGAGCAGCATCTCCTACCCTCAGTGTGAGAAATGAAGACAAAAAGGCTGCAGCATGGCCCTCTCCTGACTGCTCCCCTCCTTCTCGCCTTCCTCAGCACTCAGCTAACGCCCGGTGAGAGGAGCAGAGGAGCAGCTGTGGCTGATGTGAACACAGCTGTCACAGAAGCCACACTGCTGAATCCAAGCCAGCACAATGCAGAAGGACAGAGCACGTACCCTGGGTGAAAACCCACCAGCCAAGCCAGCCCAGCCTGCTGGACCTGAGATTTTAAAGCAGGAATGACACCAGAGCTGATCTAGGCTTGGCCAGACTATCACTTCTGAGAGGAGGAGCTCATCAGGTACCACCCCTCAGCCTCCCACAGTGATCTTTGGGACATGCATTCCATATTGGCACTTCCAACTAAAGGCATCTGACAGCAATCAGTTTTTCACTTGTATTTGGAAGGATTTGGTTCAACAGTGATGCCCAGAGGATAAAACACCACCTCCTATTATAAAGCTCTGTGATCAGTGAACAGTTGAGAAGGGATGCTGGACTGCTATGCCAAGCACTGAATGCTGGGAAAAGCTCTTCTTCCTCAGCAAATCCTGCTACCAACCAACTGCCACGCTGCTTTCTGGAGGAGAAGACAACAAAGAAATCAAATCCACCCCTGGAGCATTGGAGCCACCTGCAGCCTTGGCATGTTTCAGGCTCACAACAGCTGACAAACCTCTAGCCCAGTTCCATAACAGGACACTTTTGCAGAGTCCATCCAAACCTCTGCTTCTGGGGAGGATCAAACACCAAGCACTTCCTTAGCCTGAAATCTGCACTGAAGGAGCACCATTGACTGCAGATCAGCCCTACTCAGAGGAAAACAGAGCCCAAAGGTAAATTATGTTTTTCAGCTGGAGACAGAAGACCAGAAGCTTT